GTTTGACTGCCTTCTTTTTCGATAACTTTTTCTTTCTTCTCCAAATTGTTACTTCCAGTTTCTGCACCACTAACAGAAGCAATTTTATCTGACATTTCTGCTTTTGCATTTTGTGCAGGCTTTTCAGAGATACTTGGATATTCTCCAGGCATGTGGTCGGGTAATCTTTTGCCCCGAGTTTCAGGCACCAATAAGAAATACAATAGGAAATCGGCGCTGCTCGTTATGAACATCAGTAAGAAAGGCGCTGGTGGCCAGTGCTTACTCTGTAACGATTGTAATTTATCATTTTCACTTTTTCCGAGGGTATATATATGTCTTTCTCTAGAGTGGGATTAGTTTGAAACAGAAATGATAGTGACACACAGAGCAAACTCTGTGTTCGCATAACTTGACCTATGACCTTATGACTTATTCCAATATTTTGAGTACTCAAAAAAGAAGACATAAACTATGTGAATAAATTGATATAGCAACTGACTGGTATGAACACGAGTGGACTGACAATTGTGCCAAGTCGGTTGAACATTTGAATGAATGCAATGCCTGTACTTCGAATTGGTGTTGGAAATAGCTCAGACGGTTGAACAGCATTCAACACAAATACTTCAGTGCACATTGCAGCTGCTAGAAGACAAGCATATCGTGTGAACATGACGATGACACGAATGAACGATTCTTCTAAAAATACAAAATTTTTAACAGACATTTGTTTGAACTTGCAAAACTGTACTCTTTGTATTTTGTTCATGGAAAAAGTTAAAGATTTAAAAAGTCTGTACTCTTAATCCTAGTAAATCATGTTTGCCAATATTCATACGATCTATCTGAATATTTTAATCGCAGTTATTAAAATATTCTTAGATAGATTGTATGAAGTTTGAACTACTTACCTTCGTTACCCAATATCACACCAGCTTTGTAATCATTGATTTTTGGCCCTAAATATGAACATTCTGATGTCATTTTTATTGGGAAATCCCTTTCAATGTTCTCAAGATGACTCATTTATCTAATTAATTTAAATCATATACAAAATTATTACTCAAAAGTATACACATCTTTATGAGCACTTCTCTCTGATGTATATTTTTGGTAAAATTACTGTATGAAAAAATTATTTACCATCTGTCATACACAAAATTTACATAAATCTCTAAATAAAAATTTCTTGAAGTCACATTTAGCTATTGAAATTCATTGTTTTTTCAAATTTAATTGCGATAATTTGTAACTTACATGTGAAAAGATAGATAACGAAAGTTACTCCCATGACAGTAGCTATGAATCCTACAGCAACAAGATGAAGTAATCGTCTTCCGATTTTTTGAAACATGTATTCCAAGCTAGCAGCCGTAATATTAATCCCCCATCTTACGGAACCCAAAATTATTACATTAATATAGACCGTACCAGCCAAAGCATCCATATTGTATGCAATACCGTAACTGACGAAACTTGCGGAAAACCTAAAAGTTTACATAAATTGACAAAATTAATCTTAATGTGATTTTCTGAAGCATTCGAGTGTTGTTAAATATGTCACCAGAAATACTTACAAACTAGTGGCAAATACTACAGCGTAGCTACCAAGATTCCAATCGCTGAATAAGTGATAAAAGTAATAATTTTTTCCTCCTTTTTTTTGCTTCTCCAGCTGCAAATAAGTACTTTGACCTCAGTGTTCATGTAAATAATAAAGAATTGACCTGAGTATATCATCGACTAGAAACTAAAATTACAATAAGATACGGATGTACTAAATCATTTTGT